ACCTATCTAACAGTATAAGCTATGTATGTTTCTAAATATAAACTTAATCTAAACCACGTTCATATTAAAATAAATACATAACAATAAATTCGTTACACCAGGAATAACCTGATGGTTAGGGTACCTGACTTGCAATCCACATGTCGTGAGTTCGAATCTTGTTCGAAACTTGCTCGTTCTTTCAGCCGTGGGTACGTTATAATGTTACAGTTAATCCCACTTTTCGTTTGTAAAAAGTAGCCCACTAGTTCGTGGTGTTGCCTTCCCTCTAGTCTATCACTTCTATATTAGGTAATCCTCAAATAGCTTTGTGCGAAATTCAGCAAACAAACAAACAAAATGTTTTGTGAGAAGTAGCATAGAAGGGAAAACGTTATAGGTTGAAAAGTAAAACATGTTGCCTGAGAAGATCTACGCTCACACCTGTTGTGTATGGTAAACACAAAATATAAGGGGTTGACGGTTGACTTTTGTGCTAAAAATAGTTGGAACTTACATTTTCTTTATGACCTTTCTAAGACAAGTCAAGAATTTTCAATTATTTGCAGATTACAATAATTTGATGGAAATTTGAGCACTTACAACTTTCTACGATGTTAAAACATGGCACAAAATGAGTAAAAAAAAAGAGTTTTCCTACTATTTCCGGGGGAGGAATGGAAAACTCGAAATATTTGTACCATACTTGCTAAATAGTTAATTGTCTTTGGATTTAATTTTCACTTGCATTTATTTACAAAGACAATAGCAGCCTTTTTCTAGTTTCAACATAAAGGGAATACGTTTTAAGTCTTTAAAATATGATATTTTTTGTGACGTTGCGCTATTCATGCATGTATTGATCTTTCATGAAACTAGTTCCAAAGGTATCTTATTTTTCTTTCTTGTGTTCACGATCGAAGATGTCGAGTACAGAGCTTCATTTTTCTCAAAATGTCAGCTGAAATTCTTTCTTCAGGCATTTTTTGCTCTTTGTGTTTTGCAGTTTCGGGTGGATTATAGAAGATATACTTCTCACTAACTCACTTATTCTGGCAGGTTGGTTTTGTTAACATGCAGGTTTACTCGAAAATTGCTTAACAACATATTTGTATAATTGGATACACAAAAATGTTCCGTGTAATGTTTTATAACTAGTCCTAATGTTGTAAAACAAAGAGAATGAAGAAGCATATATAAAGTTTAATTTAAAGATACAGCTACAAACAATCTGCAGATATTATTTATTCAAACATGTGATGGCTTTGAAGAATGATAAACTTTAATATATTTTTGGACTTATGGTAATTGGAATATAATTCACAAACTGGGGGTATATGCAGTATTTAAATATTGAAAAATCACCAAAATTAACTTCTTTTATGAAACATTCAGTAATCTATTCATTTGAATAAAACATAATAAAAACATTCATCATAATAATTAATGTTTAGATATAATCATTCAGATTTTGCGTATTCAACCAATTTTTCTTGGTATCGGTTTCACAGATGCAACCAATCGGCATAGTAAGTAAACTTTCTAGATATTCAAAAACACAGAGTATGGGAGCATATCTAAATATTTAATCAAGATGGCTGAGAACAACGTTTTTAACATATTCAGCTAGTCTGAATAGGGGCCTGGATTTTACGTGTAATCAACAAGGAATTTTAGGAACATCAGTTCTAACTCTAGAGTTAATACTTCTAAAAAAATATTCAATCAGACTAAGTTAAAAGTGACAGTTCAACATATTCAACCAAGTCATTTGGAATATGATTGATACATATTCAACCAGCTACCTAAAAGCATCAGTTTTACATCTTCAACCAGATCGTTCTGGGATGTGAATTTTACATATTCAATCAAGCTGCTTAAAAGGTCACATTTCAAGATTTAAGGCAGTTTACATCTTAAACACCATGGTAACCAAAGTCAAACTTTTAAATATTCGACTAGGCTACTTAGTGACATTTCTAAATATTCGGCCGCTGTAACATAAGTTATTCATATTCAACCAAACTGCTTTAAGTATCATTTCTATCCATACAACTAAGCCACTGGAGAGTGTTAATTTTGCATACATAACCAATCAGGCTGATTAGAGGAAATATTCTGAATACTGAAATATACGGTTTCCAAGTAACATTTCCACTTGTTAAACTAGTCTGCCTTTCACTAATTGTTTAACCACAACGCTAAGAGAGCGTCATTTCTACATATTAAACAAACTGGCAAGGGCTAGCTACATATATACTTAACCACGCTGCTTAAAGATTATACATGTGAAATAAATCACATTGAGTAACATTTCTATATGTTTAAAAACAGACAAAACGAACGAAAGTTAATATTTTTTTTCGAACTAAGCTAATCTCGATTGATATTTTGATATTTCAACCAGCTTATCTAGAGTTGACATTTCTAAATATTTATCCAAGTGATGACAGGTTTACATTGCCACATGTTCAACAGAATTGTCAAGGGGTAACATTTCTACATGCTAAGTCAAACTTTCTCACCTTTATATGTATATATATATAATCAACCAGGTTGTCTTGAGCTTTTCAGATTGCCTAGGTATATCATTTCTACAGGTTTTAATAATTCTACATATCCAACAGAGCTGCTTAAAGCTAAAAATTCTATATATTTAAACAGGCTGCTTAAGTGCAACAATTATAGACATTTAATTACTTTGCCAAGGATACTTTCCCTACTAGAAATTATATGAAATAATTAATATAAGATCGATACAAGCTACACCAGGGGATCAGTTATATTTATTATAATGTTATTAGATTTTATAGTTTAGTTGTATATTACAATATATATATATATATATATGTATATCATTCGTCATGAAATAGAAAGCATTGAACATTGAGCTGAATAATTGCTGTTGTAACACTAAAGTATTTATATTTCTATATATTATAGAAGTGACATTTTAAATATGAAAATAGCAGTAAGCTAATTAGAAGGAAGTGAAATATGAAGATATTCCATCATTTAATAATTTGTTTACTTTATTTTTATTAACTTCATGTTAAACGTATTCTTAAGCCTCAACATTAGCTACATAAATGTTCTTTCTGTTATTTAAATGTCTCGTACAGCTGTGAAGGCCCTATCGACGCTGTTATGGTATTTATCACTATTAATGGACAGAAAGAACGCTTGAATAACTTCTGCGGCAACAATCTCCCCCCACAATTGATGTCTAACGGACCATCAATGACAGTTGAGTTCAAAAGCTATCAGACTCCATCAAATGTAAAAGGCTTTCGGGCAATTTATCGTTTTGTCACTAGTAAGTATTGTTTCATTGAGATTTTTTTCAAAGGCTAAAATAAAGACATTTATTTTATGCTTATATCAGCGCCATTGTTCTATCCGACTGAATAGAAAGTTCTAAAAATAGGTTAATTTTGAACTAAGTTAAATTGAAATAATCATAATTTAACCGTTTTTAGAGATTTCTTATCTTTCTGAAAATAACAGTTCTAAAACTTGTAACCATTCTAATTATTTGGACTACTGAAAAAAAGTTTTCAGTGAGTTTTTTAGAATTAGTAGGTCTACATCATTAGCGACAATACATCTCATATGCTACTGCTCCAAGAGTTAATGTCCTTGTTATAATGATGTATCAAAATTTCCGGCTCCCTACTTTAATGTCGTTGTAATTATAATGTATCACATTCTTTAGCTTATGATGAGTAAAAAAATGTTTTCGACTTATAAAGGATCACAGGAGGACAGAATCTAATGATAAGTTAATAGTTGAAAGATAAGTAAAACTTTGAGATATGTCAATAATGATGATTTGTTAAGTTTTTATGTAAAATTAATGTATTTTCTTATACTAACTGTGAAATTCCTTATTAAGGTCTTTAAGCCCTTATGTCTAAGGCCTGGCATGACGTGGTGGTTAGAGCGTTCAAGTCGCGAGTCACGGGCTCGAACCCCCATTACCAAACATGCTCGTTTTTTTAGCTGTGGGAGCGTTTTCTGTTTTCCTATAGGTTTTATAATGATAAAAACATAATAAATGAGTAAATGTAGTATTTATATGCGACACTCAAGAAACCTTTGAAAACAGAAACATTTAATACTTGCATGCTTAAAATACTTTGTTATAGTACAAAATAACTAGTCTTAGCTTTCATTCATTCTTATTATACAGCTTTCCTTGCATTATTAGCTGCACGTCGGGTTTCTTATTGCGTAATCTGGTTTTGTTTGTTACATAAAATACGTAAATGAAAGAAATATTTGTCACAGCGAGAGGTAATAGCATATGTTATGTGCATATGGTAATGCAGAAGCATATTTTAAATCTGGTCTTGGAAGCTGATGCCAAGGTGCAGTGGAAATTTTATCAAGACATTTTGTCTAAGATTGATTTCTCCATTCTTTTGCAGAAGCTGGCACAGTAGAAATTAGTCTGGTTTTCATTAGACTGATCATGATTGATGATGGGGAAGTAGTTCCAAGGCATAATGGGACATGAAAAATAATATTCTTAAGTGCAATTAACCGTTAACTTCTTATTCTTGTCGTTCGTTATATTATTTGGTTTATTTTACTTTTAATAGTCTAACATTATTTATTATATACATTATATTTTACAGACTTTGGAATCACTGCTGGAGTACAAGATCCCCAACAAGGTATCATTTTATGTTATTTTGATATTAATACAGTTATTGACTTTGTATATTTATTTTTATTAAACCATTCTTTAAAGAAATGTTAATTTTTTTTCTTCAATATACCATTTATATGAGGCCATGTTACATATCTAACCTAGACACAAATAATGTTAATCAAGCAAATGCTTAAGTTCATTTTATGAAAGCATTCATTAATAATGACTACTCAGTTAGAGATAGCTCTGACGTTTCTGAGTATATCAGAAATCTAAATTTCTTTAAACCCGTGTACGATACAAGTTTTGATATAAATCATTATTTACTAAAATATCGCTAAAAAAAAGTAATGGATACATGTGTTGACTTAGTTTCTGAGAATTCTAAAGCTGTGAATGGTTTAACTAAACACGTCTTTCTTAAACCACTTCATCTTATAACAGAGGAATGGAATTTTCTCTTTTCAGGAAAAATATGAAGATTTTAAAAAAAGCTTTCAATTAAATTTTCCTAACAATATTTATAATATACCCTTCCAAGCAACACATATCGTTTATGTTGTTCAAATGGAAACCTAAATAAGTGTTTTAGAAATATCAAAAGTAGATATTTTTAATTAATTGTGCTTATCATAAGATATCAGTGTTAGGCCTATTGTATTTTAAACACCACATTCTATATCGTGTCCCTTAAGGATTTTCAAGAATTAGAAGAGTTTATAATGATATAATTATAACCATGCTTCACCAGCTTGAAAAAGCCTTTACACCATTACACTTGTTGTTATAAGAAATAGCTTATCAGGAAGGCGGTAGCACTGCCTACGTAGAAATGGCTCGGATTGTTCATCGAATAGGTATTTTGAATATCTCCTCAATAGGTTATCGGAACTTTACAATACTAAACAGTGTTTCCTTTTATAACAATATTTAAGTAATGTCTGTAAATACCATAGCAAAACGTGTGAATTCATATGCTTCTTTCTTCTGCTTTTTTTATTACATGATAATTCAAAAACCAAAACAATGTTATCATCCAGTTTCACTGAGGTGACATAGTTTCAAACGGAGTATCCGCTGTTATAAGTATTATTAATAACCAGTAGTAATTTAAAAATATCCGTACTTCTAGTGTAAACGATGTTATTATTACCCCTTTGTAGTTAGCTGTTTTACAGAAATTTGGTGTTCCTTTAAAAAGCTTAAGTACAGGGTGAAACAGGAATTACCAGCCAATAATATATAAACGATAAATATTAGAATTGGAACCTCATTGTACTTAGATCTTGGTTATAAATACAACCTTCCTATGTCTATTGAAACACTGGATTAAAAAAGCAAGCAAACAAGCAAATGTAGGGATGGCTGATTTCAATCCTTCAAAACAATGAAAACAAGATAGTGGGATGGTACTTGCATCATCTTTACATAATAGCACAGGCAAAAATTAACACATATCAATAGATATAACCATTCAACCGCAATTGAGTTTAATAATTTATCTTATGTTTGTCTGTTAACATACTACACTATGTGCCTGTATAAATAGCGTTCCGACCGCTGCTGTGTTTTTGTATCCCAGCCGGCCTGAAGAGCTTTGGATTGAGCGAATATGATATGACGAATGTAGTGTGGTTGTAATACTATTATTACAAACTTTTCTAATTCTTGAAAATACTAATGTCTTTACTAACTAAATACTAATACTAATGTCTTACGAAGAGTATAATTAATTATAATTATGCTTCGCCAGCTTGGAAAAAGCTTTCACAACATTATATATTTTTCTAATGTTAAGTCCTTTACATTGTGGATTGTATATTATGTATAATCTTGGAATACTGAATAGTACATACTGTTTAAAATAGAGATCTGTATATATCACTAGAATAAGACCTATGTGTATCATTAGCATGTGATGGTGATAATCTTTATGTATTGTTGGAATGCTAAAATTATATATTATTGAAACTCTGGAATGAGTGTTCTTTCGCAAGAGATGAGAAGAAAAAGTTGGATAAATGATAATAAAGAATAAATTGACACGTCTAAATTAAAACTTTTCCTATTATATTTTATGTGATGTTTCGAGCAAACACTCTTTGTTATGCAATAAAAACCGTGTTACAATGTAATTAGGCTCTTAATGAAAAGTTTTTCTAGTTTATTTTGTGCGACTAGAAAAAGTTTTCATTTAAACGTGTCATTTTACTCTTTATTATTATTATTAAAACTATTAAGTGTGTACAATGTTAGAAGCAGTATACCTGAAAAACTAAAATCGAAATCTCTGTGTGATTACCTTGAAAACTAGGCGAGCGGAACTAATATCTTTGAGCCTAGAGATAAGCTCTTCAACCAATCTAATCCTGAGACTGTTTCAGAAGATTACTTATTCGAACGAGAAAAGATCCTTTGAACTCAGTACTTTGAGTCCACCTAACTTTTTAAGCCCAGACAATTTTTTGAGGTCAAATAACAGAGATTTGCTAATATTATAATATCACTATCTTTTAATTACTATATTTTCAACTAAATTATTTAATAATAATTATTATCGTCACATATCTTTATGAATAATATTTAATAATGATCTATTAATCATTTAGTTAATAAAATTTCACATTTATTCATGAGTAGCATTTAATGACAATTATGGTGAATAACCAACCATAAGTAATAGAATCATGCAGACAAGAACACGATTTTTCCATTATTGACTTTCTGTCATTATTTTTAAATTATTAATTTACCAGAATTATTCACTAACAATGTATAATAATAAAAGGGT